CCCCAAAACCCCAAAACCCCAAAACCCCGTGAAGTTAAATCATCTTAATAAGTGATAGTTAAATATCTGAAATAATCAAAATCTCTCAATAGTTTCTCCTTCAATAGCCAATTCATCATTATTCAAAGGCTTTCTATGCATTGATTATCTCCTCTTTTCCATAGAATCTCTCATCAACTTGTCCATTTCAACCTCATTTTTTTCAAGTATATTCATGCTACTTTTCTTGCCTGATTTATAGATTATATTTAAATCTTTGTTGAAAGGGGTGGTTCCAAGTGTATCAGTATAAAGAGCTGCCCTATTCAATGCAAAGTAATTTTAATTAGTCTAAGCTGAGAATCTAGATGACTTAGTGACTGATAAAGAGCTAGGAGTTTGTGCTCTTGATTGTTGAATCTAAGAATGAATAATGTCATTTTAGAATTTTACTAGTATTTTTTACTACACTCTAGCAGTTTTTGGTTATACACTTCCTTATAGAATAGATTGTTATTCTGGCTAAGGGGGGAGTTATCCTAAGCTTATGGTATTAAGCACAACTTATAACTGCTTTTGCTAGATATATAAGTTCTTTTAAGATACAGGTGACTATTGTTTTTACTTAATAACTGGTTATCTAGTGATTTACTGATTTCTTGGAACAATAAAAGGTAATTTATTTTAAGGTTATCTTGTTGTCTGTGCACCCTCAAAAAATGGAAAAGTTATCTTGCTGAGCATAACATTATGATCTGATTATTAAGAATTTTGTTTGGACAGATCGAAATTTCTTGAAGATTTAATTTAAGACTCACTATTTTGTGAAGATAATCTTAGCTTTGTAAAAGGTTGAGTTCTTATTGGATTCAACTACTTAGCCAATAAATTTCTATAAAATCCAACTCTGTTTCCGAATCCCCACTCTGCTTTTGCCTATTTAAGCATATCTTTGTCCATTTTTTCTAAATCTGCATCTTTAATTTTCACTTCTGTTTATTTCTATGTCTCTAAAAAATGAGTCTAAGAGCTTAAAGGTGATTTAATTTGACTTTATTATTGATTTTTCGCCTAATCGTCTACATATACTTAGGAATTTTGTTGCCTATTAGGTGGTCTGTTGTCAAATGTAGAAAAATTTGTCAAGATTTAGTTCTATGGGTTTAGGTTAAATCCTCTTGCATTACTTGCTTATGATGCAGCACTACTCTTGATACTGTTAAACTGAGATAACATTTTCTAGTCTTCACCTCGAGATTATTTTGGACTTAAAGTCTTATGAAGTTAGCTTTTGGCTTTTATCTCTTGATTTTACAGAATTTCTTACTCTTCCTCCTCAGAATCATCAGAGTCTTACTTTTTCCCAGGAGAACTCTTTCTCTCAAGTTTGTATCTTCTTTTAAATGCTCTAGCAATTTGTATCAATCTCTTATTCAAGAATTCAATTTTGTCCTACGACATGTGATTAAGTAATTTAGTAACTTCATCACTCTTGATTTTCTTGAAGAATTCTAGTTTTACTTAATAAACGACTCCCTCGCTTGACTTGCACTCCAATGATGATAAATAGGTCTTACTTTGCAGAAAGTATTCTTCAAGGCAGCAAATATCGAAATCACCAATCAGTGCCAGTTAGAATTTCTTTTGTTTTATAGGCAAAGATGCAATACTTGATTTAGGCTGCTCAATTTTCTGCTATGTGAAATACTTATTTAGTACTTTAAGTCCTTATTCTTTCTGGACTACATACCTTAAGATCTTGCTTTGTTCAAAATCACCTATTTTAATAAGATACATGTGAGTCATAGGATCACCTTCTTTGTACACCAACTGCCCTCTTTTAAATTTCATGATATTGATCTCCAGATAAAGCTTATGCAGAGTAATCCTAGTCATCTGACCGAGAATTGCAAACTATCTTATATATTTCAGTTCTTCAGTCATTTTCTTTTCATCGGCCTCCATTAGTACCTTTTTATAATCTTTCTTCTCAAGAGTAACAAAATGAGTATCCTCTGCAGTTTCAATTGTAGCTGATCTGTTCTTTCCATACATTAAAGCTAGCTCTCCAAATGAGTTACCCTGTCTGAGAGTCGTAACATATTACTAGAAACGAAAGCTAAAGGTCTATGTCTTATATGGTTATGTCTAAATTTTGAGAGCAGAATATTTGTTTGTTGGTTCTTTTTAGTTTTATGGCTTTGCTGGCTTAGGATGATTCAAGTAATAGAAGTAGTCATTCATTATTTAATCATTGTTGGGAGATTCATCTATTATGTATTTTTCGTTCTTTGTGACGAATTCCTCATATTCAGAGGGGTGCATTTCTATCTAAATATCTTATGGAACTCTGACATCAACTGATCCCTTAATTATGATGTATAATGTGGAGGCTTTGTCTCCATATTGGAATAAAAACTAGTTTCCCTCTAAGAATTGATATCTGAAGGCTTTAATCATTTGATTGATAGTATCTTCTCCATATTCAGCAAGTTTGTCATTCTACTTGAAAAGTTGAAGCTGCTTGGTCTTGAGATAGGTTTTGATTAGCATTAAGTCTGAATCTTTTCTGTCACAACATGGCTTCTATAACAGATCCACAAGGTTTTCAAAATTTCTATTTGGATCATTAGTAAGATTATTATCTCTTTAATCTTTATTATCGTCCTCTTAAACTTAATCCTCAATAATAGAGTTGAAATAATCATCTCCTTTAGCTAGAGGAGAGACTCTGACTGATTCGATTGAATTGTTATGAGAAGTGTATTCTTATTCAGATTTAACTATTTAATTGAGATTATTTGATTCAAAAGACTGAATATACTCATTGTCTCTCTTAATTGAGTACATTCTAACTGGCATTATAAACTTCAGAGGTGATAGCAAAATATCCTCTCTTCCTCTAGGAGTTTGCTGAACGAACATATGGCTCAGTCTTTGTTAATCAACTAGTGATATAATGCTTTGCTTCTTTGCAACTTGAGTAAGAAACTCTTAAGTCTCATTTTTCTACTCTAATCATGAATTAAGCAAATAAAAGCAGGATTTACTTACTTGAATCTACAAAATTAATGTCTAAGGACTCTATTTTAATATTTTTGTCTCTCATTGTAGGAGACTTTTGAGAATTCTTGGGAGAAGATACAAAGTTATCTGGTTCTGGCATACTATTTACTCTGTTTTGGGGTGAAATTAAATCTATTGCTTTCATTTCATTCTTAGAATCGATGCTAAGGTTACTTTAATTGGCCAGTTAAACTTATTCCATTTAACTTTCATCAACAGTTTTTTAAAGAAGTTATTTCTCAATTCTGTCCTTCATCACTGGATTTTATGCTAAACTTAATCTATCTTACTACAGCCTCCTCTCGTCAAGCTTTTCTTTTAAAGATGGTTTTTCTATAGACAGTAATTAGGTTAAAGTTTCTAACATTAAGATCACTTACTATCCATTGTTTGAATCTAACAATTTATTTATTTCTATAAATTTTAATGAAATATTATTTTCTAAAATATTTTTATCTCTCAATTTAAGGGGTTTTGGGGTTTTGGGGTTTTGGGG